AATTTTAGTCTTACTTTTTAAGATAAAGCTCCACTCAAATCTTTTTTCCACTATTTACTGTGAAATATTTCTGAGGATGTTTTTGGCTGCAATTAACTGAAAACTCTGACTCAAAATGGCTTATTTCTTAGAAGCCCAGAGATGGGCCTCTGCAAGTGATTGTTTCAGGGGCTCAGGCTGTTTGCATCTTTCCCCTCTGCCATCCTCAGGATGGCTCCCAACATGGCACAAATGCAGGAGTCACATCCAGAAGAAAAAGCCTTCCTTGGTTTCCTGCAGATTTCCTAGCATGTTTCTTTGTCCAGAATTGGGCCAGTATCCCTTCCCATTCCTGATGAGATTACCTTAATAGGTTTAGAGTAGCCCTGAAGCACTTAGCTATGTGGGAAAGGAATGGCAACCTTAATAAAATTGGCCTTTTAGGAAGGAAGAAGGGGGCTAAGGGGTGTTAGGTTGGCAACCCACAGATCCTGTCACAGCCTTTTAAATGAATTCACTTTTAGTGGTACTGATGATTCTTGGATCAGGTACTTATATTCATAGACCAGTACTCTTATTATTTCCATATTTATAGATAAGGAATTGGAGGCTTAGAGGAAATGAAGTGACTTTTCCAAGTTCATACAGCTAATAAGTGGTAGAGCTGGAAATTAAACTCAGATCTTCTGGCTCTAAGTCTTGTTCCTAACTCAAGTTATATTGTCCAAAATGGCTTTACTCCACCTATAAAAATCCTATTCATTGCTCAAGGTGCAATTTACACAAACAAGGACACAAATCTTATGTAACATCAATCAAAAGCTTTAGTTAATCTGTACCAATCCCCATAGAGTGAATCACTCTTTATTCAGTTATAAGTATATTGTTTGTACCTCTGTTTAACCATTCATTTAATTTTGACTTTACTGGCCACCTATGTGATAATGTCTCTGCTCACTAGACTTAAAGACTATCTAATTAGTCTCTGTAGCCTTTGGAGCAACAAGTATAGTGTTTGGTACATAGTAGGACTTAGTAAATGTTTGAAATGAAACAAAGGAGTTGTCCGAAGTTATAGTTAGTAAGAATAATACTGCTAGGACTAGAAGCGAAGTCATCTGACAAGTTCTCCCAAGGATCTTCCTAGTACACTACTCATACTATAGGAACTTTCTGTGCCGTATGGTCACTCATTTAAAGTTCATTTCAGTGTGTGTGTTTAGAGCACCTAGTCTGTGCCAGGGGCCAGTGCCAGGCACTGGGAGTACAGCAGTGGCACTGTCCAGTAGGGGAATACAAACACCTATAGAGTAGAGTGAAAGGAAGCAAGACTGGCTGACTCCCTTCCTCCAGATCCTGGTTGAGCGTTCTTAGATATAAGCAATAAGGGAAATTCAGAAAAGTATAAAACCTTATCCCTGTCTTAAAGGGAGTCTATGCTTTAACCTGGGAGACGGAAATAAGTACAGAGCTCAATGAATTCTTACAAAAGATTTGTGTACTTCACTGTGTGTAAGTTATATCTCAATAAAAAAGATTAAAGAAATCAGGAAAAAAAATGACAGAGGCTTCAGCCTAGTGCCCATTAAGCTTGAAATGATAGTGCCAAGAAGGACAGTATGTTTAGAGATCTTTAGGGAAGTTATTGAACCTGGCCAGTGTGTTGAGGGTCAACTCGAGGAGGGTAAAAATGAGAAGTAAGAGAAAGGAGAAATATTTTGAAAGAAGACAGGCAGCCTAACGGTTAACTGTGCAGACTGTAGCCAAGCAGGCTTAGTTCAAATCCCAGGTCCTCCAGTTTTAGCTGGAGGATTAAATCCCAGATTCTCATCCTTAGAACCTTTTAAGCCTGTTTCCCCATCTGTAAAATGTGGATGATAATAGAACCCTTTTCCTGGTAGAAAATGCTGCATGTAAGGGACTTAATATAGCCTGGCAGATAGTAATCCTTAACACGTGTCATAGTGGTAGGAACGATTGTAAAAGACTTGTTAACGTATTGAATGTAGACGTGGAGAAGGAGGAATTAAAAAGAACGCCAAGGGCCGGCCCCGTGGCTTGGTGGTTAAGTGAGCGCGCTCCACTGCTGGCGACCCGGGTTCGGATCCCGGGCTCGCACCGACGCGCTGCTTCTCCGGCCATGCTGAGGCCGCGTCCCCCATACAGCAACTAGAAGGATGTGCAGCTATGACACACAACTATCTACTGGGGCTTT